ATGGGAGCTTCGTGCCCTGGATGTGCATCCCACAAATCTCCATCAACTGCAAGATGCTATCTTATCAATATGGGCCAACATTTCTAGAGAATGCTTTCAGCACCTTCTTGAATCAATGCCACGTAGAATTAAGGCAGTTCTGAAGGCGAAAGGGGGTCAAGTATGGTGTTCCTAATAATCCTTTAGGTGAGTGTATAAAAACGAATGCCTAAAGTTTGTTAGAAAAAGTGCAATACAGTCACATTTCCTTCACAAGTCGTATTTATTTTCTGCATGCATCAACAAGACATACTTATCCTTTTCCTATTTCATTTTTGTTATTAGGGCATTAAACACCCATCCAATTTAACTGTATGGCCATTTTATACGTTTATTAGGGCAGCAATACACCTATCAAACAGCCATTTAACAGCATGCAAAACCTGTCTTCACAATTTACAGTAACTGTTCTTCAAAAACAGAAAGTACATATTACAGTAAAATAGCTCAAACGACAAAAAAAGGACATGAGTATCATTTCAGTTATACTGGAAGGTGGCATTTCCACAGACATGCACCAAGCAGGAAAAACAAATCATCCAATGAGAAAGATGCATGAAGAAAGAGGGAATTGGTACATGCATGTACAGCTTTATGCATGTAAATGATTGGTTAAAAAGGATAACAACTAATACTTGGAGATGGCTATTGTGATTTATGTTGTCTGCCCAAACAGAGCCAGCAATTTAGTCTCATCTGTACTTGTCAGAGCATAACAAACAGAGATTTTGCCATAATTTTCTTTGTCAAACACTTTTTCATTTACGTTTTCATTACAATTTAGTCAAGAAATAACAGGTTGTCAAGAAATACTTATTGTCAAAATTTTCATTGACAAAATTTACACTCATCTGGAGGATCAGCAGCAACCCCTGCTGGTCATACCGGGGGATGGACAGGACAGATTGTGACAGAGCCCCTGAAAAAGCATGCAGTCTGGGCATGTGAGACAGCACTATCGGACAGCTGGGACCAAAGACAATAGCCACTGCCAGAGGCGGACATTTCAGGTCCAGAAAGTAAAAATCCAGACCAAGATTTTGTTCTAACCAACCAGTTGAGTACTCTGTGTCTGTTACTCTTTATGCTCAACTGGTTGGTTGAAACAAAATCCTGGTTTGGATTTTTACTTTCTGGACCTGAAATGTCCACGTCTGGCAACTGCACAATGGAACTTAACACCAAGGTAGACACACAAGGCCAGGAAACGCCAGATGTTGCACAGGATCAAGGACACAAGACAAGACACATGGCACGACTAGATGCAGACCCTGAGAGAAGGGAAAACAGCAGCACTGTGGAAGAATCATCTTCTGAAACCATGCAGGCTGTGCATGAGTTGTGGCAGCATAACAGTAAAGACCTAACACCTAAACTGCCACCCACTTCACTTGTGCAGCATGTGATTGACTGAGGTAATGCCCCACCCATTCATTTGCATCCTAGTTACTTGGCCCTAGCAAAGAGGCAAGCGGTGGAGCAGCTGATTGGAGAGATGGCAGCAGCGGGGGTGATCGAGCCCTCCAGCAGTCCATGGGCAGCCCCTGCAGTCCTCATCTGGAAGAAGTATGGGTCCTGGTGTTTCTGCATGAACTACAGAAAGTTGAACATGGTGACATAGAAGAACACCTATCCACTGTCTCTAATGCATAACATGCTGGACTACATCATCAGGTCTACATAGTTAAGCTACTTGGAGCTCGGAAGTAGCTGCTGACAGGTTGAACTGGTCCTGGAAACCTGACCCAAGACCACATTCACCAATGGTCAGGGTCTATGACACTTCCAGGTTTTGCTGTTTGGGCTATGCAACATCCCCCATCACCTTCAAGAGGAGTATGTCCTGGCCCATGTCATCTGGATCCAGTGCCTTTCTGCTGCTTTCAATGAGGCTCTGCAGAACCATCGGATAGTGTTTGTGGGTGTAAGTCGGTCATTTGTTAAGAAATTTTTGTTAAGAAAGCAGAAGAAATGCCATCACTCTGTAGAAAACAAATACCCAGTTACAAAAGTTGACTCAAATATATATATTTTTTCATTAATATTTTTTAACTTTTATGGGGGTTTAGCTACGTGACTAGTAAACATCCAGGTCAGATAATATGCAAGATGGTGACTAGAGTATGTCCAACTGAATGCATACATACAAAATGTACTATACAGTATTAATGGTCAAGTAGTAAGCTTCTAACGTATTTCAGTAGGCACTGTGCAAGTATGTAATTTCAGACATCCTAAGTTTCTTTTTAAAATCTCTGCCCATTCTATTCTTCCTTTTGGGAATCAAAAGACTAAAAGCATTAACAGTCAAAGAAATAATCTTAGCACTACTATGGAGTTAAAATAGTGCTAAAACCTTTCTCACAAATGCAATGTGTTTTACAAATACAAACACTTTCTCACAATTGCAATGTGTTTTACAAATATAAAAAGCCACTTTCTCACAAAAAATAAGTACAAAAAATATAACACCTTTCTACTTCTGTAATGTGACTTGGCACAATTTTCTTCATAAGCATTTTTGTGTCACAAGATTTTCTCACAAATAGACTGGGTAGCATCAACAAACAGCAGATGGCACTGTAAGTATGTGTACCGCACCCTGCTTGAGAATTCCTCTTCGGCTAGCCTGCCAGAAAATTAGCATTGTAGAGGGTTTCACACTGTTTATGCAGTTAAAAAACACTGTTGTTAGCTACTCATTTTTAGCACATTTCCACACTCCACACCATGACTAGCTAATTCTTTTTCCCTTCATCGTGTTCGGAGTCTACGGTCGTGGCCAAAAGTTTTTAGAAAGTCTGCTGCCTCAGTTTTTACGATGGCAATTTGCATATACTCCAGAATGTTACGAAGAGTGATTAGATGAATTGCAGTTAATTGCAAAGTCCCTCTTTGACTTGAAAATGAATTTAATCCCAAAAAAACAATTTCCACTGCATTTCAGCTCTGCCACAAAAGGATCTGCTGACATTTTAGTGCCTCTCTTGTTAACACAGATGATTGTGTTGACGAGGACAAGGCTGGAGGTCACACTGTCATGCTGACTGAGTTAGAATAGCAGACTGGATGCTTTAAAAGAAGGGTGGTGTTAGAAATCATTGTTCTTCCTCTGTTAACTATAGTTACTTGCAAGGAAACATGTGCAATCATTGCTTTGCACAAAAAGGGCCTCACAGGCAAGGATATTGCTCCTAGTAAGATTGCACCTAAATCAACCATTTACCAAATCACCAAGAATCGGTGATCGGGGCACCACCAGTGCAGAACTTCCTTAGGAATGGGAGCAGGCAGGTGTGTGTGCATCTGTACACACAGTGAGGTGAAGACTTTTGGAAGATGGCCTGGTGTCAAGAAGGGCAGCAAAGAAGCCACTTCTCTCCAAGAAAAACATCAGGGACAGACTGATATTCTGCAAAAGGTACAGGGATTGGACTGCTGAAGGCTGAAGTAAAGTAATTTTCTTTGATGAATCCCCTTTCTGATTGTTTGGGGCATCTGGATAAAAGGTTGTCCGGAGAAAGATATGTGCTACCACCAGTTCTATGTTATGCCATCACTAAACATCCTGAGACAATTCATGTGTGGGGTTGCTTCTCAGGGAAGTTAATGGGCTCACTCACAATTTTGCCTAAGAACACAGCCATGAATAAAGAATGGTACCAAAACCTCCTCTGACAGCAACTTCTCCCAACCATCGAAGAACAGTTTGGTGGCTAATAATGCCTTTTTCAGCATGAGCATTGTGCCATAAGGCAAAACATCGACATCGGGAACAAAACACCGAAATTTTGGGTCCATGGCCAGGAAACTCCCCAGACTTTAAACCCATTGAGAACTTGTAGTCAATCCTCAAGAGGCGGGTGGACAACCAAAAACCCACAAATTCTGACAAACTCCAAGCACTGATTATGCAAGAATGGGCTGCCCTCAGTCAGGATTTGGTCCAGAAGTTGATTGACAGCATGCCAGGGTGAACTGCAGAGGTCTTGAAAAAGAAGGGACAACACTGCAAATACTGACTCTTTGCATAAACTTAATGTCATTATCACTAAAAGCTTTTGACACTTATGAAATGCAAGTGTAATTATACTTCAGTATACCATAGAAACACCTGACAAAAAGGATCTACAAACACGCAAGCAGAAAACTTTGTGAAAACCAATATTTGTGTCATTCTCTGTGTGCTCAAACTGAGTGGAAGAAGTCTTGTGTGTAAACCTAACACAATGGGATGTATAATTATGCTATTCAAAATTATGGATATTTGATGACCAAAAGAAAGGAGGAACATCAAATGTTATATGAGTAAAGAAGGCGAAAGACCATTTTATTGTTTTACAATGACTGTACAAGCAGTCTTAAGAGAATAGCATCCAATTATTAAAACCATAGTTTTTGAAAGGCAGTTAATTTTTTAGACAAGTGATGTAATTACACTTTTTTCTTTATACCATATGTAGCTCATTGCACAGCAACATACAAACCAGAGCACTGTACAGATCATACATAGTTCACATTTGTAAATTATACAAGTACTACAGATGTCTAAATTCTTAACCAAAGGGCATTTCATTAAAAGTAACGTATATTCTAATATTTAAAAGTAGCAGGACCCTTCACACACATACACAAAAAAACTTGCTTTTCTAACTTAAAGTGTGTACATCACAGTCAACACTCATCTAATTGCATGTGCATGTCTGAGAATTAAAAGGTTATCAATATTCAACTGCCAGTCAATCTATTACTAAGTACTTATTTTAGGATACTAAACATTTACCAATTAAAATCAAACTTCTCACTGCAGTTTTTGACCATGGATCATTGAGACAGAACTACTTTTTCAATAGCATCAGTAGTGTAGAGGATGTATACCCTTCAAACCCATTGGAAAAATAACAGCTAAAGCATGTAAATTAACATGTACAGTAGAACCTTGGAACTCAACCGACTGGGACGTTGAACAGATCTGTTGAATTTTTTCTGACTTGTACCTCAACCATTTCTGCTAAAACTTTTATGGGTCGAGATGTGTTCAACTACCAATTCAGACCTCGAATTGGTTGGTCGAAAAAAAATGTAGCTACAACTTGATCGGAAATATCACAAAATACAGACCTGCTAAAACTTGTATGGATCGAGAAGCATCTTCCTTTCCAAACAATAACTCCTCCATCTGCCACTTCCAGTATGCCATGAGCTCACCTTAATAGAAGTGCTCATGAATTGTCATTTGTGTTTATTGCTTTTGTATGTGTGCTTTTCATGTGTGTATTAGTTTTATATTGATTGTTAATGCTTTTTATCATTAGTTAGGTATGTAGATAGGTTTAAATGGCAATCATTTGGGAATCTGGAATGGATTAAATTCATTTACATAATTTCTTATGGGAAAATTCAACCAGGCTTAAGGAACGAATCAAGTTTGTGTTCCAAGGTACCACTGTATTACACTATAAGGTTGTAAGAAGGGGCAGCCTTTCTAAAGACATATATGAACAGAAGTGGAAAGTTCAGGTGCATGAAGTACAACTCCAGACCAAAGTTTTGTTTCAACCAACCACTGGAATATAAAGTGTCACACTGACAAAGTACTCAACTGGTTGGATGAAACAAAACCTTGTTCTGGATTTGTACTTCATGCACTTTAACATTCCATCTCTGTGTGTGCGACAGAATCTGAGTACTGTGAGTAACAGTAGAAAGAGATCATGAAAAAAAGAACATGAAAATAGATTCATGATGTCATATGGACACCAAGACAACTTATTTAACAACTGTTATTTGAAAGAGAAACAACTCGGTTATAATCAGGGAGTCAACAATGGCCATGCTTGTTTCGGGAGATTACAGGGGACTCATCCTTATGGCTCTATATCTCAAAAGCAGGGAACTTTGACTTCATGGGTTGCAAAAGGTCAGCCAGGAAGTAGATAGTGCCTGCCATGCCTAAAGACAAAAAACATACACCATGATAAATGTCTTAAATCTTATACATTATCTTATTTGAGTTTATTCTTTATTCGTGAGAAATACAAACTATGACTTATGAGCACAAGGATGTGGTATTCATATGAAATTCACATTTTACAGTAAATTTCATCACGATGGTCAAACCATCAAAATAAAAAAAGAAAAACGTGGCAGTTCTCAGATGTAAGCCTGACCAAAATATCATGAGTACCTTCAAAAAGTGAGAATGGCCTGTCAGGGGTCCGGCAGCCATGTTTACCATAATCCATGCACCATTCTGCAAACTACAGGAAAAATGAAGTTAAAAATTATTATTTCCCAACACTTTCAATTAGGACCAAATTTGTCATAATCACACCAGCTCCAAATCAATTACATAATTAAAAACCCAAGTACAAAAATTACCCATAATGAGTATTATTTGTCTTACTTTTTAACCCCCAGCTCAAAATTTAACCTGATAGCTTTACCATTTTCTGGATCTTTTACTTGGGGATTAGCAGCAGGTATTGAATCAAAATCAAAAACTGAATCAAAAAGGCAATATCAAAATTCAAATTAAAATCTCACCGAGACAAAGAACAGGCAATAAGAGAGAACAAAGCCAAAAAAAAGTAACAGTGATATGTACATTTTCCAATTTTACAAGTACTTGGCTTCTGCTCTGAAAGGAGATATCTCAAGTTAGGGAAAAGATGAACCCTGCCCCCTTTTCTCACCATGCAGGCCCGATACAAGTGCTTGGGGTCATGGGTGAGCTTGTAGAGGGCCAAAAACACATAAGCATTGCCAGCCACTCCATGACACAGGCTGTAACCCTTCTTCAGGAGCCCCCTCTGCCAGACTACTTCCCCGCACTGCAATGCATCTGCAAGGTACTGATCCATGCCGAACACCTACAAAGACATTAACAGGGAAGGAGGTAAAACTTTAGAAAAGCAGCATAAAAAGTGGCAGGATATATAAAGGATGTTTCAGGATCGCTCCCAGAGACAGGTCTAAACAAGGGGTCTGAAACTCATTGAGCGGACCTTGTGTACGGTTTATTTTTTCCTGCATTGTGCATCTATGGTAAATGTAAAGACTTTCCAAAATCACTGGACATCTACATAATATTTCCTAAAAATAGAATACTAAAACTGCAACAATGTTTTGGATTCCAATTCTGACAAGCAATGAAAACAGTAATACACAGCTCTGGAAAAAAACTGAGACCATTCTATATTTTTAAAACAATCTGCATTTGTAAATCCTGATTTAATCCTAGTTCTGCTGGCAGAAGGCTACACTGAGCAGCAGGTTGCTTCCAGGTGCAAAATTTCTGAGACAGTAAACAAGAACAAGGTGAAGCAGGAGACACTAAGAACAATCAGAAACCATCCAGGTAAAAGGCAGAAGTAACTTTCTAATGTCAGAGATGACTAAACGTATCCAACAGTTTCTCATAAATCGGAGGATGACATCAAGTGACCTTTGAAAGGGATGGTAAACATTAAGTGGTGTGAATGCACTGCTAGAGGACAGTTTGTATCAGGCTACTAGAAGGACTGAAGTCCCATAAAGCAAGGAAAAAGCCCTTCACTAATGAGAAACGGAGAAGATCCTAAGTGCAGTTTGCAAAAAATACATATATTATTCACAGGCACACACCCAAAAGTTGAGAAATGAGTGAAACAAATTTTTTTGCTGTGGTCTCTTAAGTTTTTCCAAGCTGCATGTATTAAAATAACATGCCAGTGCAACTAAGTGCTACAGAGTCTCCAGATTTGCCTACTAAACACTAATCATCATGGGAACTACATATATGGCAAGTGGGCAGTTCTCTACCCTAACAACAATCCAATGCCAGAGTGCACGCTGCCCTATCATTTAAACTTATGTACAACAATGTGTGCTACGTGTTAAAAGAATGACACCTTGTAGGCCTGCAGGAGCATGTAGATGACTCCAGGTGCTCCATGACACCAATGCACCAGGAGGTCACGGGTATCCCCAATGCAGGCTGGGTAATTCCTTGATGGGAACCTGAGGTAGCACAAGTAGTCCACGCTGGGCTTCACTAGCTTAAGCAGTCTGGTCTCTCCAACCCCAAATCCTGGCTGAGGGCAAAAAGAGGTAACAGTTTAACTCTGGAAGTTTTCAATCCCCATTAATGGCTTAATCAGCTTCAGTTGTTTGCTTTCTTTTCTTCTCCAGCACAGCAGTTTCATGCCCTGAAAGTAATTTCTGGACATTACTGCCTGTGAATACTGCTTGAAAGAGTTTTCCGAGGTGCTGCACAGCAACATTCATATTCAAGCCAATGTGCGTTACCTGCGTTGAGAAGCAATAGACTCCTCAGCCAATAAGGTCTGCCTGCAAAAAGGAAGTAACACATCCCTCAGCCAAAGTGGTTGACTTGGATGGGGGGGGGCAGACTACGGAGAGGTTTACCGAAAACAGAAGGGGTTACCATTCCAGCTAGCATATTCTTACTTGCAGCAGGAAGTAATAGATGCCTGCCAGGCCATGAGCAGGTCCCACATAGTACTTCTGGTGCCACTCGTACAGCAGGGGGCTCTGCTCCTGGTTGCAGCTCCTTTTGGACAGGCTTTCCCCAGATGTCAATACCACCTCACTGATCTGGAGCAAATTAAGGTGTATTTAACATTAAAGTAGACAAATGTAATGCATATGCTTCAATACAGGCATCCCCCATTTTACAAAAGTTTGCTTTATGCCACTTTGCTTTTACAAAAGACCTGTATTAGTATCCATTTTCTCTGACTAAAAGAAATCCGAAGATGATTTTTGCTTTTATGAAAAAAGTTTGTTTTGCAATTATAGAATTGGAGTACATGCTTCTCTTCTGGGAACTACACTCAGCATCTCAGGATCAAGCCGCCATAGCCTTGCACAGAGTCTGTGAGCATCCGTATTTGTCTCGAAATCCTCTTCAGAATTTTTGGTCAGTGAAACATCTCGGCACAGACATTATTGCTACTTTATATAGGCTGCATATTTATTATATCGTTCCTGCTTCCACTGTATGTTAGTGTTATTTTAGGTTTTATGTGGTATTTGGGAGGATGTGGTAGGTTAATTTCGAGGTCTGGAGACACACAAAACTTTTTCCCCATATACATTAACAGTAATTGCTTCTTTCGGTCAACAAAAGGTTTCGTAGGAATGCTCTATTAAACGGGGAAACCTGTGTGTGTGTATGTATACATATATTTCACTTTCAGCTTAATTTAAAAAATGAAATAATGGTTAAATATTGAAGAGTACCACAGGTTTTGAGCCCATTCCACTAACCTGTACACCCAGCTTCTGTGGGTTGACAAAAAAGTACCCTGCTATGCTCTAGTGCAACTGTGTTATAAATACTAGTACAAAAGATTCAATTTGGAATGATATAACTGAAACATGCACCATTTCTGACATTTTAAGTCAACAATACATCTGATAAGACTTTTTTGTCTTCTTACTGCATTGATTCTATTTTAAATGTAGATATATCTGCTTGTGTGGCAATTAAACAAAGTTCTTTAAACACTTAAAAAAATGCATAATCAAATACATCCAACTTGGTAGATAAGAAATTGTATAAAAATACGCAAATCAAAGACTGAACCTACTTATTTTGTGGCAAAAAGCACTATACGCACTGAGCACTGTCGAACTTGGCACCAAAGTTGTTTTTAACATGTGACAATTCTAAAAGCACAGCAACAGAAATGAGATGAGACCACCAAAAGTCACATTGGGTCTGACCTGTTGAATGTACTGGATTGGGATCTTCTCCTGTTCAAACTCCTGGTTGATGAAGTTCAGAGAAAACAAGTAGCCAATCCTTCCAAAAAGCAGCTCATCTGGAAGGCCTTCTCCCCTCATTATAAACTGATGGTAATGGAGCAGCCTGAAGAAAATGTGGAGATGATGTTGGTGCATCAAATTATATTTGTAGACAACTTACCACAATCTGTAGACTACAATGAACACTTCAACATCTTTGGTTCTAAAATCTTTTTTCATCAAATCTACCTAAATATAAAGAAGTATCTATGAGACATTTTTGCTAACTAACATTTACAGTTTAGTTAGCACAAGTTTTCAGCAGTTCCCAGTACACAGCACCAGTCTGCTGCTAGTTGGACTTTAAACTGCGGAAAGTACCACCACACCACCAGTGTCTTTTTACCTTGTTCACCACATGGTCTCTCTCTCTATTTTTTTAAATGATGTAACTCACACTTTCTTCACTTACATTTGAAGTTTCTTCTGGGTGAGCACTTATTTCTTCCAAGATGTGCTATGAAGCAATGTTTGACAGTTTATCAAAGTTTCTCATTTTCCTGTTGTTTAAATCTTATGACGATGAGTCTTGTCCCCTTGGTAAATTTTGCTGACTGGTGAATTTTCCTGGGCAGTGAATGAGTTCATGTCTGTGCAACAGCCCATTACTGACTGAATTGTGTTTCCCTTCCACAGTTCCACAGGATACTACTGACTGTGGACCACCGTTTGAGAAACTGCCCTAAATGACAGCTGTGTCCCAAAACCAAATAAATCCTCTTTCCAGAGCAAGGATGCCACTTATATTCTGTTGCTACAAATCTCTGAAACTCCTTAGGAATTGTGTTGCTATCTCAAATGGGGACATAAAATAGTTCAGAAATGCTTTTTAAAATTATATGTATGTAGCAAGCAAATTTGGGATATTTGCAAATACTAACACTGTAGTTGTAAGTTGCTAGCAGTGACTTATCTTAGCAGCCTACAACAGTAGTCTACAACTACAGTATTATGTACCACTTCTGTAACTTCACATTTTCAAGTACTGGTTCGAGCACCGTTTTGACACCGGCATCATTTTAACACTGGTATTGGGGAAAAACCCAAACGACTTACCTGCTCAAGCACTCATCAGCCTCTTGCCTTCTCTGCAGCCTGTGGAAGACCACCGCTGCTACAGCCAGTGGTCCGGCATCACCACACAGGAAGGTTGCCCAGCGTCCTGTCAAAGACTGCAGGCTGCGGCATGCGTAGTCCAGGGCCCTCTGCAGAAAAGTGATCTCCCCAAATGTGCGGTGTAGGTGCAGGTACAGCAGAGCAATGCCTAAGGTGGGTGGAACAAAATGTTTTATTCTCCCACCACTCTTGTGGAAAATGCAAATAAATCATACTCATAAGGCATTATACAGGAAATTTACTCCACGGTGTAGAGTATCATAAGTCCTTTTAATACATAAAAACTGATACTTTTAACCTATCATCTAAAATACTCTAACTTAAGTAGATAATACTAAAATGCCAGAAAACCTTCAAATTTCAGATACAGGAGAATATGTTTTTATTATGTAATCTAGATGATTCAGTATCAGAACCAGGATTTCAGATTTTACAAATCTGATTTTCCTAATGGAGTGGCAAGGTGGCTTAGTGGGTATGCAGTACTGCTTTACACCCCCCTCAACTGCCAGGCAACCCCGACCAAGATAAGAAGCTGAAAGATGGATGGTTATTTCATGGAAACAAATATATAGTAGTAGTTGTTGTTATTATTATTATTATTGTTGTTGTTGTTGTTGCTCTTAATCTTCTATTATTATTATTTATTAAGAATAAGAATAATAAGAACATTATCAACAAAACCTGTAACTAGGACACAACAGGATGATAATTGGTGGTGTGGTGATACATCACTTTTGGAATCCAGATAAAACTGTCACATCAATACAACCATGTTTCAATTAGGATACAACCAAGTTGGGCTGGAGATGTGGGCAAATATCTTTACCTGCCCATCCAGTGTAGACACTGCAGTCTCTGGGGTCAGCTGACTTCAGCCCATTCTCCATGTGAAACAGCAGCTCACTGATCTTGTCGCTCACACGGCCAGCAAAATCTGCTGTTAGCTAGATTGGACCACAGAAATACAGTGCTGTACTCAATAGGTTAAAAGGGGTTTTATCAACTAGCCACACGTATTATTTCCAGAATTAATAGTATAGTTATCTGGTACTTTAACCCGTTTACATTTTCACTTCGTCTTAAAAACATCGTTTGAAAACTAGTACAGTAGCTCTAAGCTAGGTAACAACACAAGGTATTGTTCCTCATTGGCCCTTCTCATTGCTGATGGCCAATCACCAAAGCGTTTACATACAGACTGCCGAATCCACAAACCCACACAACACTGCTACGTCAACCGTTTCTCCCGTAATCTGCAATCTTCTCCACTATGCTTAAATACCCTGGGGTTCGCGGTTACATAAATAATATAAACAATTGACTAAAATTCTGAATCTTGTGCTTAATTAGTACGTAATGCCTTCTAGGTTCGGACATTTAAATATAATTCAAAAGAATGCAAAAATGCTGCTCTTCCTGCGTCACTAGCGATTCGATGAACAAACATCGCAACCTTGAGTGCCGTATATCCCCACAAACATGGATGTCCCGAATAAATTTCAAAATGATATGGCTGCTCTGATACATAAACAATACTACAATGGCCATTTTATATTACAAGACCGCGAGGTTACAAGCAAGCCACAATGAACCGGATTTTACTCAAAACAATTGTCAATGACGCAGTACCTTAATAATAGTTTCGAAATCAGACGAGTGCCCGTGGAAACGAAAGACGGGCATGAAAATGCACGGCTTAGTTTACGGACCAAACCGAATAATAGCAGGTAGCTATTGCTAACTTACTCTGCCTCGATGGTCGAAGTGATACTGCGCGCCGCCCGGCGTTTCGTGGTAGTCTGTGTACGGATTCTTGAGGGCTCTGACTTCCATATTTCACCCAGAGAATGTGCTCGGTTTCTGGTTTAAGGACAGGGTATAGGGTAAGTACACCAAGACAGCCTCCCTCAGATACGACACAAGAAGTTTCGATTTCCGCCGGAAAAAGACACAAATCCCATGCAATTTTAATCCGTCGGCGATCCTTCAGAGGTTCTGCTACCACGATAATATGGATATAATTACAAAACTGCTAACTATGGCTAAAACGCTTGAATGCTTATTTTTTCATATTTAACCGCATACGTTCATATCCATAAGTATTCATATTTGCTACAGTATATCGACATTATGTATAACGTATATCACCGTACCTAACACAAAAGATGTAACACACTCTTCCTAATGCATTAGTTCCTAAACCGTCACGCGTCACCGTTATCTCTTCTGAGCATGATTTTTAGAGGATGCAATAATAAAATGGATCAGAATTACCATAATATGTGTTTATCTTGACCCAAATATGTGAATTAATTGACGTGAATTAATGTACTATTATATTGTTAATTTTAAATTTACTATGTTTATTTTATATAATCAACACTGATTGGTTTTTAACGTACAGATTTTCAAAACGCCTTTTTTGTCCTTTTCTTTTTTTACTAGCACAGCGTTTAGGATCTTTACGGGCGATGCTTCTGTTGGACAAGTTTAAGACGCTTGTTACTATCAAAAATGTTTTTCTCTTCGCACTCATATACATGTACTGCATATATCAGTAGCAAACCCTTTTTCATATATTAACTATTACTATTAATATTATAGTAAATATTAAAATATGAGTCATTCCATATCAAATCACATGTGCTCCTATACCAAACGTATGGAGAAATCCTAAATATTAAGTATGTAGCTTATATGTAATAGTGTTGAAACTACAACTCTTTGAAATTTAAATTTTATATATTTTGCCAAACGACATTTTCGTGCAACTTCCGACATTCACAGTTCCTTTGATATGCCATTTATAGCTGTATTTTCTGTAGAATTAAAAAAAGTAAACGAAAAGTTAGTTGTATTTTATGTACTTTTCCTCCTACAAGGCTCTGAAAATTGCCTAAAATTCAAAACGATGCCCCTTTTGAGAGATTCTCACTCAAACGTGCAGTATGCTAGATAAAGAACTGTGTTTTTTCCTGTCGTTTATGTCATATTAGGCTAATTGAATGCAGTAACCAAATGTATGACTCATGGGAGTATCACGGTAATTTTTTCTTGATTGTGCTTTATTTTCATAATTGCCTATTTTCAAGTCCTTATCTGACCAGGTGGGCAATTAACCATCATTTTTATATTTTCACCATACATACATAGCCTGTACCCTGTCCTTGTATCTGGAGATGACCTAACAAAAAATGTGTTGTTCCTGAGCTTTTTTCTGGAGATTCTTATTTTTTTAAAGAATGAGCTGTCATGCTCTTGTTGCTGTACAAATTCAACATTAACAATTTCAGAATTGCCACATAGACTTACTTCTATAAGACGAGCATAATATCAAATATCAAAGACCGCTCAGAGGATGTTCTGATCTTGTTACCTTCAAGGAAAGATCTAAAACAATGTACTCTCCTGACCTGCGGGGTCATTACTCTGCAGTCTAAACATATTACTTTGGTTGGTAATTTCTACCAATGTAACCCATTTAGTTGTTTCCCAAATGTTTCAATTGTGTAACTATTAATCTGGTTAGCTGATTCTTAGAAAGTGATACTGACAAAAATTTGATTTTAATCATTTTTAACAAGTCCACCCTTTTCTGAAACATAATCATAATATAAACACAAGTAAAATCAGTGATTAGATTAAATTTTGAGTAGGCTACACAGCTTTATATTACTGTCTTGCTCTACACTACATTTGCAACACTAACACCAAAAAAAGACAGAATATTGTTACAGCAGGAAAGCATATATATAGGCATATATATATGATATATAAGCATATATATCAAATCCATGTAGTTTCCTTTGTTGTCAGAATTTTCATTCGCATTATGTCCCATAAGTGCCAGCTCCTGTCAACTCAAGAATGAAATCACATCAACCATTTCACAATCTCAGTTTTCCCTCACAATGTCATGGTGTTTGGATAACTGCGGATGCATGCCTTAGCTGATCAAACTACCAACCTCACGTTTCCTAAACGAGTTGTGTGACTGCACTGATATGTTCCTTTTGCACAATAAAAAATCTTAACATAAAATTAAGGTTCTTAATTTGGTGAATGACAAATAAGGTTTTAACAAAATGAAAAAAGTCAGGTGGCACAACCAAAACAGTAGGGCTGAATTATTTACCGATTTCAAATTGAAATCGCGATTTGACACAATGTGATTATTAAATCAAAAAGGCTGCAGTTATGGAAGTGCATTACACAGCACGTCTGACCCAGGGTGTAAAACTGTCGTGAAGATAGTTTTACAAATTCATGTCAACCTCCTTCTATGACAGTCATTCTTACCAATCAGAAGTGCCATGCTCCGTGCATGCTAGTCATGCCCACCAATCAGAAGTGGCCCAAGGTGACTGCGGATACACCCACAAACAAACAATGAAGGAAAATCCAAGGAAAAGGTTACATTCACGGAATGAAAAAATGATTCCGCTTGTGAGTTACAAGTGAATTACCTACCTCTTCCATAATCGATAGATTGTTTTTATTTATAAAGTGATTTTTATGACAGAATTGGTTGCATTTGTGTAAAATATATTTGGATACTTGTTTTGTACACCCGTGCTGAGATTTGCGCACTTATATTTTAGTTTTGTACACCCATGCAGCAAAGTTTGTGTTTACAAAACAGTTTTGCACACTTGTGTTTTCAAAATTACAGATATGCAACTTCATATTTGCACATATTTTAAAAGCCGCGTTACAACTACGAATCGGTATTACAAATGCACAAACATAGAAGGAAACCCTGTATTTAAATTTTTTTCCCGTCCCGAAGACGTATGAGTGGCGCAGCATTTTGATAGTCAGGCAAATCCAGCCAATAATACCCGAGACAAAAGTCAAACAAAGGCCCGAGCCCCCCAGACCTCGCCCCCCACAGTGGGGTGGACGACAGGGCCCACCACACCCACCAGGAAGCTGACCCCCCCCCCCATCCAGCCCAAGACCAAACCACCAAAGCTGCTGCCAGCACACAGAGCAGCCCAGAGTAACACTCTCAGGGACTCACAGCAGCACAAGGTCAAGGGCACAAACACACAGACTTGGAAAGAATGTATCATGAAAAGAAAAAGATGATTGTCAGTTTTTAAGGATACCCAGTTGTCATCTATGCAGAACTGATTAAGGTAAACACACCGGAAGAAGAACTGCATAATACAACAGTACATTTCAAACTTAAGCCTAAACCTTTTGTGAAGAAGAGGACTGACTGGGTAAATATGCAGCAACAGTGTATGTTGAATAAAAGGGAAAAGATTTCTCTGCATTCTCAATGCCGCAAAAAGTAGAAAAGTGGAAATCTCCAAACCTATGTTCAAAAATACAACACACAATTTTCTTATTACACATTGTATCAATCAAGTCCAGACCCTTAGAGAAGGTAAAGATCGGCCTAAAGAAAGAGAACTGTAAAGAGTACGATGCATTAAAGCAGTGATAATAAAGCTTACAGATCTCTTTATAACTGCTGCATGTAGCCTTCATTTTATATTTAATGATTAATTAATTTAAAGATATAAAATACCCATCAGCATCCAGTAAGACTTTCACATAAATGCTTCTTTCAAACCAATCAGTTTTAAAAATGTACTTCCTATTAATACTAATAACCCTGTTGTTTCATTGTAGAGAGAAAATGTGTGTAAATATCTTTTTCCTGAAGAGGAGCTCTCGTTTGTTGGTAATTTAACAATGTAATATGATTTCTGTAGTTACATAATTTTTAATACAGATCATGTAAATTAAAACAAACGAAAATATTTTTCAATTTGCCATATTCCAAGCTGCTAAAAGCCTTAAAGGAGTCCAAAAATAAATTTAAGTTTAATGAACGATAATCGAGTGGGATGCAAATATGACTTGTGAATTTTCTTTTAATGAATGCCAAATGCTGCGATGGGTTGGCACCCCATCCTGGGGTGTTTTCTGCCTTGCACCCGTAGCCTTCTGGATGGGCTCTGGACCCCCCATGACTCTGAATAGGACAAGCAGTTACAGAAAATGGATGGATTGATGGATGGATGCCAAATGAGGTTTGTCAAACCTCCTCCCATTTTAAGTCTGTTGGCATAAACATCAAAAAACAGACTCATGAGTGAAGTGTAATAGGACTCCAGAATCCCCTGTATAATTTATTAAGCTTTGGTAGGAGAGTAATCATGTTTCATAGATGGGGCCAATAAGCCATAAGCTACCTATACGTTCTTTGAAACCTTCTGCCACCAAAATTCTAATATTCGCAAGAAGTACTTATATAAGTCAACCATGACACTATTATAGTGATCTATAAAATGCCCTGACCAAGTTTTAAAATGGAAATTACAGTTTAAACCTTGCTTGTAGCAAACGAGCCCACTCTTTCTTTTTCAATAATGTTAGCATGTCCAGGGCGGTTGGGAAGCCAGTTGACCTTGGACCCTCAGAAGTTTTTTATCCCCCTACTTGAGAGTTTTTTGTTTTTCTCCTCTATTGTCATTTGGCTTTCATTCATTCATTCATTCATTCATTTCTTTGTCTTCCCTTTACCCTGTTTTTGTATTATTCTGTCTTAAGTTGTAATCACAACACCCCCATGTAAAGCACCTTGGAGTGACTGTTGTGAAAGGTGCTATATAAAAAATAAATCTAATTGAATTACCAGCTTCTGAAATGACTTTTATATAGATGTTAACCTAGCTGCAGTGAAAACAGTGAAGATGGGTCACAAAAAAAACTGTAGTTTGGTGAAAACAGTGAATAGGGTTGCCACATTCAATCTGAAGAAATATGGGACGTCAACCCCCCAGTTCCCTGACAATAAAAATAGCTGATTTTTGCAGAGTGCAGTCTGGATTAAATTGTATTTTGGTTTAGATGTATGTTTTTATGAAACAATGCTTGTACAAATAGGGGACAAATTGTATCCCATCTTCATTTAAAACAGGCCACAGCATTTTGTTTTTCAATATGGGATGATACTATAATATACAGGGTGGATGGCAACTTTACCCGGGGATGTGCCCAATCCATGTGGCTCTAGGGCATATTAAAGCTCCTTTTCCAACTGCC